GGTGATGACCCTCGCTGACACCCACCTCCTACTCCAGAAAATAGAGCTGCACAGTAGGTGCCGTGTCATACCTGTTAGCCCCATCTGACCTTACCTCCTCTAAAATAACGCCAGCTGCCTAAGCAGTGGAAAAGTGAATCAAGCCTCAGGCGTCTCTATGAACCCCATCCACACAGGCTGCCTGAACAAACACATTTTTAACCACAAGTTTTAAATCCACGTGTAAAGGACTTGGTATATGGAGCTTTTCCTGAGTCTGTGATTTACACAACAAATACATCTGCTAAAGTGAAGAAAGTTCTCTTCAATAAGAAGAAAACTTTGGAAAGGAAGCTCAGAGAGAGCAGTTGAGATTCATCTCCCTACCTTTGCAGAAAGGAGGATAATGAGGAAGAGTCAAGCTCCTTTACCCCTTTCTGATGCTGCCTGGCCTTATTCAAGGAGACACAGAACACATGTGCTCCGCAAACAAGAGCTGGTCCCAAAATATGGTGCCAACACACTGGCAGCAAGATCCACATGAGCACATTCCCTAAGAAGAGCTGCATAAATAGCAAAGCTGGTATGTACAAGACCTTAGAAATTGTAATGTGTGAGTATCCCAGAACATTTAACAGGTTTATCTTCACAGCACTTCCATTAGACAAGACAACTCCATGTTTTCCTGCCTCTTTTCATTACAGTTGTCTATTGCTGTACAATTGTCAGGGATATCAGTACAACCTCTGAAAACAGGAACACTCCAAGTGTTTGAGAAACTGCCTGAACACTCAAACTGTGTTCGAGAGGGGGCCTTAGAACAGATTGATGCTTTAGAGAAAAGTAAACAGCAACAAAAATACCAAACCAAAACACTACGTTACATAGTACTCCATGTTATGGAAAACCTCATACTACATAAAAAAAGAAAAAATGTCTTTGAATTTTGCATTCATTGTAACATTCTTTTAATTTTAAAATTTGGAAAAATCCACTTTGTTTAGAACTCAGCATGAAGAGCTAGAAAAACTGATAATGAATTGGACAAGGTAAAAAAATACATATTAGGTTAAGTAACTTATTTGAACTGATGGATTTATGAATTGCAGCAGAAGAGGGATCAATCTACATTTGTAATCATTCTCAAATTTAGCAAGCAGTAAAAATGAAAGCTGGGTGCATATTGATTGGAACAAGTTTAAAATTATGCAATTTCAGTATGATAATTGGGACTAAACCTAAATAAATACTTTATTAAATTAATCTAAACCTAAAGCCTGAGGTACAAGAAGACACTCACGGTCTATCCACTAAAAATGAGGGAGCAGTGACTAATTTTTCATTTGGCATTTCTGTTTGCATGCTGATCTGCCCTGTCTCTGTCACTCACTACAGCTTGACAGACAACTCCCTCATCAGGTAGCTGGTAGGTGCAGTCCATTTTTACATGTTATTTGACCAAATCTGTAAGCAGCAAAACCAAACACAGGCTACAGAAAGCCTGAAATACAGGCAGGATTTTACTTCAGATCTGAGAAGTACAAACTCAGTGGGATAACACAGATTTCCTGTAATAATAATCAACTACTAGTCAGCACTTGATTAAAAAAAAAAAAACCACACACACACACAAAAAACACCTACTATAAAATGATTGAGAAAATAAAATATGTGAGATTTGAAGAGGATTGAAAATATAACTAGTGCTATGTCTTCTCCCTTTACTGGAAGATACAGACATCGTAAGATAAAGGAAAGGTATTTTAGTTTGGCTCCCTGTAAAAAGGACACAAGGTCAGACATAAAAGGGTTCAAGTTAAAGACAGCACAATTTGCATTAATTAAGACCGTACTTTTTTTCCTCAAATTCTGATGTCCTATGATTTAGATACTCCAGAAAGGAGGAGATCGGTATGTTTTTTGTATACTTTACAAAATCATTCTTTTCTTTATGTATCATTATGTTCTTCAGCTAGATATAGAAGCCTGTCATTATCTTGCAATAAGAGGTAACGTCTTTTGGAAAAGGAAAAACTATTTGAAAGAAACAAAATATAACTTCAGAATTAATGCACATGTAGCTACACATGTCTATAGTCAGCACAATTTTGAATACTTCTTACCAAAATCAAAATACATTAAAAGGTTTTCATTATCACATATAGTAAATTTTGGGGTTCCTGACTGAAAATTCTTAATGTTTTATGAAAGTACTAACAGAATATAAATTTGGCTCCAAACTGCAATAATTACTTGTTGTCCTAGCTACTTGTATCACTGAATACAACATTTGCATCTCAAACCCAGAGTATAAGAGGATGATGCAATGCAAATATTTCTGTTTTACAAGCCAAACAGCACAATTCACAGAAAGGTATATGAGAACTGAAGAGGATTTTTTCTGGGTCTTAGGTTACATTGCTTATTATAGAAGCAGGCAGCCATATCATAAACTGATTATGATCCACTCTGAATTTTGTTAGGGCTTTTGGTTTAAGAATTTTTGCCTTTATCTCCTACTGGTAGGTTGTTCCAGCAGCTCACCATTTTGGTAGTTAGACATTCTCCCACGTCCAGCATCAATTTATGCTTTGCCAGATTACACTGCCCCATGGCCTCTTTTCTCTCATAACCCAGTTGAAACCAGTGAGACCAGCCATGAACAAAGCAAACTGTTTGTAGTACAATATCTTTTAAAGAATTTGTTTGTAAACCCCATGATTAGATATGTAAATGTTTCCCAGACACTGAACACCTATTCCAATTATTTTTAACAGACTATTGGCGATTGGATTTGTGCCAAAACACAGGAATAAAACTGTAATATTTAATGTTCTAAGGGTGGTCACTTTGTAAATACAAACTTGTAAAAATTAAAAGAAAAAAAAGCAAAGTTTTTATCAATTTAATTCCAACAGTACTATGCCTGATAAAAAAGATAATCATAGCAAGAACTTTGATACATATTTCTTACTACCACATAAGATGCACTTTACAGAATTATGGCTGGAAGTGGACAATAAATCATTTGTATAACACTGCATGCAGATAAACCATCAACATATCCAAGATCATGAATTCACCGAATTACTGCTGCACTAAGACTCATCAATTGCATATGGCTAAAACACATCTTCAAGGGAGACACCCATCCTTGAACAGAAATGTCAGGAAATGGGGAATCCAGCACTGGCCTTACATGTTTGTTCCAGTAGTTAAACTAAAAAAAAAATGTTAATTTTATTTTGAAGTGTCTCACTTCAAGTCACTGTTTAAAAATGAAACGACATTATTTCTATAGTTCAGCTTCTATTTCCAGGTGATTCTCAGTTTTGATTCCTCCTGAAGTAAAATATCTCGGACTATACTACATTTTCTGCCTGTGTACTTCAGCTTCACAAACTCACTGCTCCACTGGTTACATGCCTAAGGTCACTTGCACACTTTTCACCATAGATTTGCACTGGACATTCATGTGGAAAAAAACCCCACCAAAACCAAAGCAAAACTTCAGCGCAAAGTGCAGTTTCACTCTTAGGTCACTGTTAATCATGCAAGATCTTTATGCTCTGACATGTATTCACTCATCCTGCAGGTACTGTATTTGGTTGCACTAAAATGCATTTTGTTTGAACCAAGTCTGCTACCAGATCCCTGTACTGGACAGTCTGACAGAACCGTTATCTATCATTTCACGTCTTTATTCCATCTGCTCCCCAAAACTGATTAATCATTTGTGAAAAGTGCAATAATAATGTGGGGTTTTGGACCAGATTCTGCTACCAGATTCTGAGTCAGGCTGAGTTAGAGTGTCTTTAAGAACCTACGTTGCTGTTCACAGTAACATGTTATATTGTCCAAATAAGTCTGGCAGAGTCTAGCCCTCAACAGGGAGAAATATAACTTGCTTTTATTGTTTCAGAGTTGTTCCATTTCTAGCAAACTCACATGTATCTCTCAAATAGAATCATAGAACCAACCCTAACCATTCTATGATTCTCTGAAATAAACAGATGCAGACAGTTTAGGAAAAAAAACCTACATGTAACTGTTCACTTTGATTCATGGAAGCCCAGCTGATGCAAAACAATGCTATTAACACTACACAAACATTAACAGTGTATTGGTGTGCATGCCTGTATTTTCTGGGAAGCTACAGTTTTATTAATTTCTACCACTTACTTCAAAAATTATGTAAACTGTTTCACAACCGATGATAAATATTTAAACCAAGGGAAATTATTCCCCCACTTCAGATACTTTTATCTTTACATTCCACACACACCAAAAGAGAAAAAAAACCCACCACAACAACAACAACCAAAAAAAAACCACCCCACACCACTTTCTATTGAGGGACAAAAATTCAAAACCCCCAAAATTTTGTATTTTGAAATTTGACATGCCAGATTTATAATTAATATATACCACCCTCGAATGAGAAATGCAGGTTAATATGTACACAGCTCTTGGGATCGCTCAAGGAGGTGATTACTGCCTGAAAAATTGTCACTAACTAACAGTTTGATTAGAAAGGATATTCTGCTTCTGAACTACTTCCTATATAAGCCACTTCTCACACTGTAAAGGAAGCCAGAGGAGGAAAAACAGTCTTACTACAAGCTAAGAGCAGAAAACACAAGTGCTCACACCCAGAAATGTGTAAGTCTTTAGAATAATTCATACAGTGATTCTAATATATTACAACAAGGAGATTGTTTGCCATTATTTAATCAATTATGATTTCATGTTTTACCAGGAAACATTTATACTCAGTATCCAATTTTTTTCTCATTTATGTACAATTTTCAAAATTCACAGCTAACAGCCACATTGAGCTGTGAATTATGGTTTTGTTTTATTCGACAGTAATTTTTACGTTCTAGATATAGTGGATGATTCAATTAAATCACATGGTTCTTTACACAAAAAAAAAAATATTAGGGCATACATATTTCCACATTTTTATTTTCTCAGTTCATCTGGTTAAAGAAGAAAGAAAAATTATCTGTAGCATTTACCTGTAGAAGGCTGGAGGAGCAGCTTCCCTCATCCCAAAACTGCCCTGATCGTTTTCAAGGTAATAGGGTACCTGTTGGCTGTGATGATGGATGAAGGGTGAGAGCTGGGGTGCCGTTTGCAAGAACACCACTGGGCTTGGTGGGACATTGTTCAGTGAGTGAAATCCTGCCAGGCTGCTGGACCCAAAAGATTCAGAAGTAGGGGCATAACTGAGAGTAGTAGAGCTGTACACTGGAGCCGTAGTACCAAAGTCGTAAGTGGCTCCTTCTGGGTAGTTAAAAACTCCTGGCTTGTTGCTCTCCACGTACATGTCGCTGAGTGATCTTTCCAGGGGAATCTTCAGCTGAGGTCTGCTCAGTGTCTCCAGTTCAGTGCCTTGAATCTGGTGCAGCAGGGTAACTCCAGAGGTTTTGGTGTGAAGGGTCATGGTCAGTGCTAATGGCAGCGAGCAAGGAACATATCTGCTTTTACTGTCAACAGCGAGATCGGCAGCTGGCAGTCCACCTAAAAAAAATACCAGAACCTATTCTGACGCTCAGCAGAAATCATAATAAAGCAGCACTACACAGGTATTCCTCTAATCTCAGCAAGGAGGAGGATACAAACAAATGCAGAGTGAGCACTGAAAACGCACATTCTCTCTCTCCCTCCCTCCCTCCCTTTCTCTCTAACTTTTAGGAACTCTTCATCTGCGCTAATATGCACTACAAGGTGCTGGCTCTGAGCCAGGAACTCCTGCCTTGTGCCGACGTTGGTTTAAACATCACTTTAGAAACAATTAGCTTTGGAGGTATACCAAATAATTGTCCCTCTAAATGTTACTTCATTCTTACTAGTCGTTTAATTTTGCACTTCATGGTAGCCAGCGCTCCGCAGCAACTAACGGGAAAGAACACTTAAATCCAACCAGGAAGAGTAGTCCAGTGGTCAGGCAGATTACTGTCTTTTATTTCCTCAGCAGGCTCCAATCTATCTCTGCTTATCTCTCCTCCTATTTGATTCATTTTCATGTTTGCTAGAAATATGTAATGTGTACATTGTAATGACCCTGGGTAGGACTATGCTGTGACTGAGATAGGACAAAACCCCCAAGAATGTGTGTGTGTGCAAGCGCGTGCGCGGGCATGTGTGTAACGAGCCTCAGTCAATAAAACTAGCTAACAAAATTAAAGGGTGCATGTTATCTATGTAGAAGAAAAGGTTTATAATGTACTTTCACCAGTTACAGCAACTTGAACTTACTAGAGTTTAAAAGTAATATTAAAAAGTCAGGAAAAGCTTTAGATTAGCCTAGAAACTTCTGTCTGCTTCTTTTTAGGCTGTAAAATAATGAAACCAACATAATTCAGGCTTTATCATAGGAAGATCCTAAATGTTATGAAAAAAATTATTTGATTGCATGACACATGAACTGAATACAGGTAATTCTTTTTCCTAGTCTGGTGAACAAAAGCTCAGCAAACCTTAATTTTTAAACCTGACTAGGAAATCAAGTAATCTAAAATAATCAAATGGGATCAGCTTTAAAGTAAACTGAAATGCCTCTCAAAGTTATATTTAGAAGGAAAAAAAAGAGGGGGAAGAGAGAGAACATAATGAAAAGGTGTGGCATGCATGCTTCATCTTACAATCTCATTCCATATAATTTTAACTTTGCACAAACCAGTCTCCTGAACCAGCTAAATGAAAACCTCCAGAAACTGTTTGAAGCTCTCTAGCTTTATTGCTGTGGTCTGTGGCTCAGTCAGTGAAATAGGTTAATGCCAATCCTAAACACAATATATGGGCTCCAGTTAGTATGCTTTGAATACTAGCAAAGTCTATGCTATACTTAAACAACCCTACCGTTATTCGACTCAATCTTCAAAACACCCAAGAAACCAAAAAATTGAATATGCAAGTCACTAATAGCTTCAGGAAAAGTTTACTAAAAATGGTTTTATTTTGGTAATAATACTACGTTTTCAGAACGTCTACTAAAATAGCCAGTTATTTATATTTGCAAGATTATTCTGAAGCAATATACATTTGTACCTCCACAGGCACACAGATAAGACAGCAGTACACACATAAATACGTACGTAAGGTATTTCCTCCCCCCCCCAGCCACTGTACCTACCCTGTTCAAATTTCAGATTGTAGACTTTGATCAAAGAGATAAGCTTGTTTAAATAACACTGGACTAAACATGTTCCCAGTTAAAAAAATAATAATCAGACAATCATACCCAGCAGTTCAGAAAGTCTTCGAAGAGTTATTCTGAAAATATGCCAGACAGTGTGAGAGAAAAAAAAGAGAGCGTGTGCATGTTTGCACAGAGTGGGTGAACATGCATCTGCAGAGACTCACAGAACAGCAAGCAAGCATAGCTCTCAGCAGCCAGTCTGCTGGGCTACACAGGCTGAAATGAATGGCACTTATGAGTTTAAGGTCAGCCACTCTCTTAGATTTCATTTTGTGCTTTGGTAAGACGCAGAAAAAACATAATCTTGTATTAAACCGCATAATATGCGAATGAATGTGAATCTGCCTGCCATAAGAAGTACCCACTTCTATAGCGTGCTACAAAATGGACTTCCAATTTTTATTTAAAGCATTATCCAACATAATAGGTATGCAGAAGATGGAAGATACACATGTGCACACGGAGAGTTGACTTCTGAGTGCATCCTATGCAACCTCAGTGCTCCTTACATGCAGTTTTTAAAAATCTCATTAATTAATTTGGGAGGGTTGTATGTTTTCAGGGAGACAAATATTTCCACCACATGCAAACTTCAAAATACACTGTAGGGTTCAGTAAAAGCACCATCAATTCTGCTCCGTACCATTCAAACTAGGGACTCCGTGAGTAGCTTTCCACATGCCAGTGTGGAAAGTTACAGTCCTGTCTCCTAAAAGGGCTCAGCGATAGACAGCTGCAGTATCCCTGCAGTACGCAGTGAGGTACACATCTCGGAAGAGAAAAATGTGAGCACCCTCACCAAGTTCTTAGGGGCTGGCTGGGAATCGCTGTGATAGCATCCTGTAATGTCTGGCCACCTTTTTCTGTGGAAGAAGAGCAAGGGAGAAAGAAAGGGCAAGGGTGAGGTAAGGGGGGTTAATCAAGCCAAATCCCACAGAGAAGTTAAATTTTTCATTTGTCTATGCTGCACAAAATTAATTTCTGATTCTGCATATTATACGTGGGATATTTAGATATAAAAAAGCCGTGAAATGCAATGGATTATCAGAAGGGTTATATTTCTTGTCCTTCATGGTGATGACTGTCCTGCTTCCTCCAAATTAACACATGCTGCTACTTAACCCTGCTTTAGAGATGGCGTTAGATGCACCTGCTTGTGGGCTCACTCCCCAAAAAATGAGACATAAGTTTCTAAAACCTGGTCTTCGTGCTTAAAGGCCAGGACTTGCTCCTGGTTTAATCACTCAGAGCCATTAGATGTCAGGTGTTGTATGTTATGAGCACACTATGGAAATATGTACAGGACACAGCAATAATATTTGGTCCTTTTCCCCAGTGGACACAAAGTCTATGCAAAAAATCAGTTTCACTAAATCCCACTTTATTTATGCCTTTAAAAATATGCAGATTTCATAGAGAAGGGCTTGCCTCATTCACTGTGTATTTTTAAAAAATTACATTAGTAACAACAGAGAGTAGATGAAAACATGAACTGTGCTGCAGCACCTTCATTTCCGGTGCTAGACAGAAGTGTTTAAAAAACACTTAGTCAATGGGAAATCTACCGTTTCAGATTTGGTAATTTATCCATTAATGTGTATTCAACTGCAATCAAGCTTCCCTATGTATTTCTCTCACCTTAACGAAGGCCTAATATAAATAAAATAAATATAAATAAATTGAAAAATTGAAATTAAAATAAATTGAAATCAGGGAGGTTTAGATTAAATGTCAGGAAGAAATTCTTCACAGAGAGGGTGGTGAGGCACTGGAACAGGTTGCCCAGAGATGTTGTGGATGCCCCATCCCTGGAAGTGTTCAAGGCCAGGCTGGATGAGGCTTTGAGCCACCTGGTCTAGTGCAAGGTGTCCCTGCCCATGGCAGGGGGGTTGGAACTAGATGATCTTTAAGGTCCCTTCCAACCTTAACCATTCTATGATTCTATAATATTGCTTTGAAGAACTGAGCACATGTAACAGGAGAGAGTGGTCTATCCCAGTCTTCCCCCATAAAAAAATAGAGGGAAACCGGTTTTACAAAATCTGAAGATTTGCTAAATTTATACCAGGTACATATTGGGGTCTTGCTATATTTCTGAAGTTTGGAAATATACAAATAAAATTAATGCTGCCTTTGATCCATCCAGATTTATGCATACACAGTATCTGTGTACGTTCAAATAGGGAAGAAACAGGAAGGAAAGCAAGAATAGCAGTTAATGAATACTGAAGAAAGAGGAGGGGACAGTCGACACTGACTGAGAAGCACTACAGATATTGGCAAGGAAATTCAAAGAAGAAATTGCTTCATACACAGTGATTTTTAGTGAGACTGAGTCAAGAGATGAGTTTCTGAAAGTGAGGATTCAGACACTATCCCTCTCATGGAAATGAGAAATGAATTGATTAAACAAACGGAAGTGACTGACTAAATCTTGTGTTCTCTTTTTAAAAATGTTAACCTTTCTATTTTCACTTTTCTAGATATGCCAGAGTTCCAGTGCCCAACTCAAATTTTCCAGAGTGAGGAATTTACATCACACTAATACAATACCAAATGTAGTAACATTAAAACCAAATCACATTTGTGTGGTTCTGTGGTTAAGTCAGCATCATTTACATGTGAAGTATATTTAAATGTTTCTAAAGGCAGATTCTGCTCATTTCAATTTGCTGATGAAGAGTTTGCCTCTAATTTTTACATTTTTCTTTACTTTTTTTTTTTTTTGCAAACTACTAGAGTGATCAGATTAAACCAGCAGAGTCATGCATCGTGCAGTTTGGCTCAGCTTGACCACCAATCCAACACCCTTACCAGCTACAAATGGCAGGGTGCTGAATCAAATTCAGGATTCTTACCATAATAGATATCATGAACATATTTCCACTTCAAAACTGGAACATAGCTTAAAAAATAAATAAAGTAGCCTTCTTCCACTGATTGCAAACAATGTAACACCAGCAAAATGGACTCAAAAACAGAAAAAGGAAGAGGATAGATAGCAAAGATTATATAAAATATTACTCTTACTTATCTAAATAACCAAAATATGGTTTTAGGATTTCCAGTGCCATCAGTGACTTTTAACTAGAAGTCCTGAAAGCTAGTCAGGGAATGGTAACAAAACAAGTTCAGTTCATAGGGAGAAAAAAAAAAAAAAAAAAAGAAAAAGAAAAAGGAGGAAGAAACAGCCTGAACAGACACTTGATTCTGGAGAAGATAAAATAGCAGTTTGAGGGAAAAGGAGATGAAAGTAAAGACACTACACCAAGACTATTCAAATTATAGGAATCTTAAAAGATAGCAGAGGTCCTAATGCTAGACCGGGCTTTTGTCAGCACTAGTTTTAGTAAGTATTCCAACAAAAAACAGTAAACTCAGAACCGAGAACATATACTATAAATTTTCCATAAACCTGCTGACAGTGAGAGACCATAAACTTCA